GATGAATATAGTTGATCTGTGGACTGTTTTGCAGATTATTTGCTCTTTCTCATTGTCTGCTTTTGGGTTACTGAGTCATTTCACTTTCATTGTTGCTTAATATTGAAATTAAAACAGAGCACTAGCACTAAGGATTACAAATCATTACAAGGATCACAACAGTATATGAATTTCATGAATTCCCATAGAAATAAGAGATAACTCCACTAAACACACATGCTCACACATGTGCATGTGTGCACATGCAAACACAGAAAAATAGTTTTATTTAGTCATAGAACAATAAAGTGATTTCTTATTACTCTGAAATGGGGGTAGGAACTATATTATATAATAATAATAAAAATAATAATAATAGGGTCTTGAAAAATAATGGAAAAAGTTTGCCACAGTATATGCCAATAACCCTAACAACATCTACAAAGATTTCACTAAGATGTTATATAGGGTATTTTTAAGAGGATTAAGATTTTTTTTTAAGCAAACAAAACAAAACCCCCAACTTCTCATTATTTTCATGGCAGTTTTAATCTCTAGAAAAAAATTCTTGGAGTTCAAACTGAAAGCCTGTTTGAGGATTTCCACAGCTGCAAAAAACATACAAAAACATACGAGGTCTTATCAAGAACATTGGCAACATTATTTCATGGGCTTCAAAAATGAAAGGCAGGTGCTGAATAAAAGGCCAACTATATTCTAATATCAAAAAGGGGAATAAAAACCATGAATATGATACTAACATAGTATATAATCAGAAGCAGCTGGAGGTACGAAAAACAAATATCAAAAGCACATGAATGAATTGGGAGCATGTGAGAAGTAATACCCAACATAGAACAAAACCTAACATTCAAAACTACTTAGAAAATAAGGATTATCTCCTGGGAAAAAGAAAATAACAAATGAATTTTATTTTTAAGTAACCATTTCAAGGATCAGAGAGAGAATAGATGTTAAAAAGTTTGCCTTGCATGCAGCTGACTCTGGTCGCTGGTCGAATCCTTACCTCCATGTGGTCTTTTGAGCACTATTGGAAGTGACATTAGCCCAGAGCTGAGAGTGGCCCCCAAACACTTAAGGTGTCTTCCCAAACTCCCTTTTCTCCAAAACAGTTTCATCCAGACTTTGGGGAAGCAGAAAAAGAAAAGCATTCGATAATGAATCACGAGGAAGTAGTTAGAAGACCAAACTATTGCAACATGGAGCCAAAGCAGATGAGTGACTCAGAAGAATACGGCTGAAAATTAACCAATGATGGTCATACACAATATAAATCTGAGAAGATATCAAGATGAGTATTACCATGCAAAAATTTATATAACTACCAACACAAGTACCAGATTGAGGCATGCCCAAAGCTCAAAAGAAGAAGATGTAGTGTCTGATACAAAAAACATCCTTTCAAAAAAAATTGAAAATATTATAGCAAAAGAAAAGAATGTATTGATGATAACAGAGTCATTTTCCGGACAACATTAAAAATATACTCAGAAATATAGGTAGGACAGGGTAAGGATGCTAGCCATACCATTCATCTGACAAAGAATATACAAGATCTATAAAGCACTTGTAAGACTTATAAAGAAATAACCAACCCTATAAAAATCAGGGAGAAGAAATAGAAACTTTCTCTGTGAAGACACTCAGATGACTAACAGAGATATGAAAAATAATGCTCTCCATCATAATCACCAGGGAAAAGCAAATTGAAACAACAAAAACTGAGATATCACCTCATGCCAGTGAGATATCCAAAAGAACAAAAACAACTAATACTGGTAGGGATGTGGGGCAAAAAGGAATATTCATCCACTGCTGATTGAAGCTGGAATGTTGACCGATCCAACCTTTTTTTTTAGTAAACCATATGAACATGTCTCAAAAATCTAAATGTGAGCTTCCACGTGATCTAAAAATTCTATTTCTAGGCATCTATCCCAAGGCCCAAACACTATCCAAAATGGACACAGTGCTTCTATGTTCACTGCAGCATTCTTTACAACAGACAAAATCTACAAACATCCCCAGTTTCCAAGAACAGATGATTGCATAAGAAACTATGAATTTTTACACAGTGACCACTTGTCAGCTATAAGAAAATATGAAATAATGCAATCTACTGCTATGTGAATGGAACTAGAGAGTTTCGTGCTTGAGTGAAGTAAGCCCAAAGGAGAGTAGTAGAGCTCTCCTATACGTGGGATATAAAAAAGAATAATGAGGGAATAACAAATGGCCAAAGGCAATATAACCTGAAACTTCTCTACAGAACTGAGCTTACCATAGAAGGGAGACAGGGCAGGGTGGTGTTAAGAGACAGACCTTGAAATAAACGTGGAGAGAGGTGTATATTTTGGTGGCCTGTGCAGTGTTGGAACACTGTACGCATAAAACTCTATCATGAACAGTATTGTGAATCATGGTGACTAAAATAAAATTTAAAGGAATAAAGGTATAAATAAGGATTTGGGTCAGTGCCTTTTAGTGATATAGTTACATTGGTAACATTGTCCCTTCCGGGGAAGTAAACATACAGCAGGCTGTTTTTGAGGAAGCCTTTAAAGTTTTCTGTACACAGCTCACCAACAATTGTTGGCTGTAATGAACCAGACCATGAAATTGGCATAAAGCACAACATAAGTTAGATGTGTTCTCCAACTGAACTGAGGCTCTATTTATCTTGAAATGATGCAACAGCCATTATGATATCATGTAACAATCTAAGGAATCTATCATGAAATCATCCCTACAGACTTCCTAAGTGTGCTAAGTACCTTATTTCTGAGCCTATTACATCCGAAAGAAAGGCCCAGTCAGGGTCCCAGAAAAATCCACCAAATGAATAAAAACCCAGCTTATTATAGGGAAGGGTATAGTATGTCAACTGTGCTAGCTAACTGCTCTCCTTTAAGCGATAGCTTATTATACCACTGTTAGTTATGAGTATCTTTACTCTTTAAATATGAATAGCATAGGGTTTGAATTAGAGAGTGTGTGAGTGTACGCATGCACATACACACAAACAAACACACACACAAACATAAGCACCACAATCAGAAAATAATTGCAAAGGAGTCCAGAGGATAAAAACCTTTTTTAAAATATTATTTTTAAAATTTAAGAAAATAGAGATAGGCAAGTATTCAGAAGCAATTCCTTCCTACTTGAATTACTGCAACTGTAGTAAAAAAAGAACTTGATGTGCATCTCTATATAATGCACATTTTCTCAAATTAATTAGAAAGCACAAATTTGAAAACAGACATCCTGCTAAGATCACAGGTACATAAATATCTCAGACCACACACATATATACAAGTAACATAAGAACCTGAGGAATATTACATAAAAGGACAATAGCCATTTTAATATAAATGTCATTCCTAATTTATGAAAAATGACTAGCTAAAAGCTTATATGAATCTTAGAGGTGACAAGGAAAGGCAACATGAAAACCTCCAAAGACTTTGAAGATTCTGCAAAGCAGGTGGTGAGTAGGACTGTTCCCAGGTACAGATATATCACATTTTGCTTCAAAGAGGCAAATAAAGGCAGCATTATTAAAACACTAGTTGCAGTTTTTTCTTTCTTTCCGGTCTCTGATTTAATATTGACCCTTTGCTTTGAAAATACTTTGGTGTTCCCTTTCTTTGTGTCCTGGATTCAGTTCTTTATTGTTAACATGACTTTTTTTTTCTTGTTCCCATTCACAAATCAGTCCTATACCTTTTCAACATCCCTTCAGAGAACTTCTTAAAAATATTACAGTTAATGCATGAAGCCGGGTGATGCCTGGGAGGAAAGTGAGGAAGACAAAGAGCGGATAGAGAGAAGCACAATTTGTCTGTAAGTGGGTAATGTTTGGGCGTGGCAAATGAACACACAGGAGTTGGTTATACTATTTTTTAAATTTTCCAAAATGAAAAGCATTAATGATTAGTTTATCATAATATTTTATCATTATGATTTTCTTCTGAGGGGCACATAACAAACTAAACCCAAAAGACATTATATGTTCTTTAGTGGCTCATTTGCAATTGAAACCTATTCTACAATTCCATGTAATATTTGCAGTATCTTACCTTGAAGACATGTACAATGAGGCCTAGCCAGTTATAAATCTTTTTATTTATATTTTTCAGATAATAGAAACCATTTAGTTGACCACAGTTATTGTTTTCTAAATTAAATTATAGTTAGAATTTTCTAGGTACTTTTCTAGGTGATCAAGGTAAAAAGAGAACTTATGGATAATAAAATTCATACTCTGATAAAAGAAAATACCAAGTAGAACTTTTTCCTTACATAAGATTCTCATATATAAATCAATTTTTAATACAACACAAAGAACACACTGACATAATGAACATAGACTGTTTTAATGTGGCTTCACATGTCAAACATTCTTCATATATATTGCCAGTCTTTGAGATACTTCCTAAACACCAAGACCTTTCACACTTGATTCAGTGAGGGACAATGAACTGAGGTCAGAGACAGATAAACTGCACTTGATCTTTACTAAGTGAGAATCAGTAATACCTAATCTAGGAAAGTAGAAAGAAAATATGTCTTTATTTTAAAAATAGACTTCTCTTGGCGGGTTAGTTTGTCAATCTGAAATGATACTTTCTGGTGAAAGTTTGCACTATAAATTTAAAAAGGCTTCATGTACTCTGAATTTTGACATGCAGCTTATAGGCTATGTTTCAATTTCTCTAAATGTGCATAAATACAACATAAATATAACATATGTATATACATACATATATATACATACATATACATATATATTCCCTTTTCACCTTGTAAATACATTGCTGTGGATAAGAAACTTAACTAATTTTTCTGAATCTTTTTTGTAACCCCTAAATTAGGCTATTCAGCTAAGTATTTCAGTGACTTTGAAGCATTAATGTGAACTGCTTCTTGGATTTCTCTAATCTTTGGAAATGTAAATACATCTCAAGTTGTCACTTAGTCAGTAAACTTTATCTCACCAGGATTACATCTGGATCTCTGATGCCGTCTTCAACTTCAATCAAAGTTGTACAATCCTGCACAAGGTTTTGATTCTGCTTTCTTTTCATTTCCCACGAAGAGGCCTACACCATGGTATTATCAAAAAACATACAAGGATTAGTAGCAATCAATGATAGACATTAAATCACTTAATTCTTTCCTTCATTTGGCTTCTGCTAATTGTAGACTTCTATGCAATAGTTAAAATTCTATTTCTGGCCTTCAAGATACATATGGCTTTGATATGTGACAATGACAGATGAGAATGTGAAGGTTAACAATATGTAATAATCAAAAAACAAGATGAATTAAATATGAAATTATTAGTTTAAGCTATTGTTTCTCAAAATGAATCCAGGTGATTTTAGTATTTTTCAAAGAATCTGTATGAATTACTGTCTTTTTGTTGAAGAAATAATAATCTCATATGGATATGCACATTCTTCTTTGAATGAGACAGCTATTACTGGGAGCAATGAGATATACATTCATTTCAAAATAAGGATAATAGCTTTCTCTCCTTATATATTTTTAATCAATGCATATTAATACTCTTAGTTTTGTACTTTTGCATTGAAGAATATCTTTATATTCTAAAAGGTAGGAAAACACTAGGATGAGAAATTTATAATTCAGGAAACTATCTACTTTGAATGTAATGGCCAAAGATGGTGGCTTTAGGTTTTGGGGCTTTTTTTGTAGCTTCTTGTGGGTTAGAACTGATCATATCTATAAATCCTCATCATTTGGCACAGAGTAAATAATTAATATTTTTGTAAATAAATTCACAAAAGATACGAGGGAAACACAAAGATGTTAAAGTAACAAGTAGAAGATAGTAACAATAATATTTTTGTCAGGAGTCCCATTTTTAAGAAATAAGATAAGAAAAGAAGAATCTCCTAAGAAACAAAAAGTGTGTGAGAAATATTCTCTTTAAAAAAACAGCAAAATTAATTTCTTACTAATTTTAACTAATATTAACATACCATTCTGATTACTGTTACTAATATTAATAGGAAATTAATTTTCTATAGTAAGGGAGCTGACCCAAGGCACATATAAGCTAAATCATTAGGTTTCCATGGTCATTTTACTGCTTTTTTTAAAGTACATAAAAATATTTATTCAAATCCTGTCTGCCTTCCTAATTTCACCAACTTAGCTTAACAATAAGAATCAACTGCTTACACCATCTCTATTTAGCAGTGATTTGACCTACTGTGTTTATTTAATAAGAGATTCGAAATTCACCATAAGTGATACTTATGTAATGGAAAACTAACTTAATTACAGTTAAAAATCTGACTGAATCTTTTTTATTGTGGGGGAGGGGATATGTTTTTGCTACACCTGGCAGTCTTCAGGGAATCACTCCTGGAGGGGTTCGAGGGACAATATTTGTTGCTGGAATTGAACCCTGGTTTGATTCATGCAAGGAAAGTGACTTTCCCTATTTTACTTTCTCTCTCTCTCTCTCTGGCCGAATTTTTCAAGTGCATATTAGGACCAGTTTCCTTGTCTTTGATCCCATTACAGATTTGTTTAGCTATACACTGTCTTCTGAGGTGACATCCTTGTGCCTTTGCCATTATCTTATTGTCCACTTGCAAAGCCACTTATTCTAATCTAATCTAGTATCATCCTTCAGATCAACCAGAAACTCTCCCTCCATCTTATTTATGGAGACTAACACCATTGTTACTAAGTCAAAGAACATTTTAAGGATTTTGGTCTCAGTAGAATTTAGCTCTCTTGCCTTCTCTTCCTGAACTGCTTTCCTCTCTCCCTCTTGAATTTTATGAAAAAAAATTAAACCGTGTTTCCTCCTATCACTGGCCATTTCTTTGTAAGCACCGTTGTACATCTACCCTCTCAGTTGGACATAAAATGTTAATATACCTAGCTATTCTATCTCATCTTTCTTTTCTCATAACATTACTCCTTAGTTGGCACGTTTTCCTTGATTTCTCAAATTTTGTTGTTAAATTCATGCATCTTTTTAAGAATTTGGTGATCTACAAACCCAATCACCTTCTTGGATTCCCTACTTCAATAAATAAAATTGTCATTCAATCTGGTGCAAGAATCAGAAATTCTGTAGTTCTTCTTGCCATTTGCCTCTGCATCACTCCCTATAGGTACGATATCCAGAATAGTGTTCCTTCCTTAAGACAATATATAAGGGACAACTATATTGATATTTCTTTATTATGCAGTTATCACCCTAAGCATACTACTATTACAAATTCATGAGACTTACATTGTTCCGGTAATAGCCTTCTCACTGATTTGCCAGCACTCACTCTGCTTTCTACTAACCTTTCTCATACTCAGTCAAAGCAAGCTTTTCTAAAGAAAAATCTGCTCACTCATGTTCCTCGCTTTAAATCCTTCAGCAGTTTTTCACTGCTTTCAGGATAAATGTAACTGCCCTTATCAAACTCTGCATGCATGTGTGGTTGTGGACCCTCCTTATTTGTTTCATGCCATCGTCTCTTTCAATTCTCTCTTTTTCCCCTAGCTTAGTTGTCTTCTGAATTTCTTCATATTAAATGTTTCCTCTTTAGCAAATGATGTTTGCATTGTGTGGATATATTCTTTTTCTTTTATTGCTGATGTTGGATTCAATCTTAAAATTTGTCTTTTTTTTTTTTTAGATTTCTCTATTCTCTCAGGCAAAGTCAAATTCCCTATTAGAAGATTAGAGGTTGTGCTTCTTTCATAAAAAGTGTACAATAAGAGTTCACGTTTTTCTGTATAATTACTGGATTGTGCCTCGATTACTTAACTGTAAGTATAGTAGGGGCAGGGACCATAAATAGTTTTGCTCACAGACGAATACCTTCTAGGTTATACTATATAGAGTGACACATAATAGATGTATTTCTGAATATATGTGAATCTCTATATTTAAAGTCTAAAATATATCATCCTAACACATGAGCACACTTTAGTTTTGGAACCATTTATATGTTTTTGGAGCATTCAACCTGCTCATAAAATAGGCAAGCAAATCTCAACTATTGTAATTGCACAGTTAGTAAGTAAAATTAGGCTAAAGAAGGCAGGACTATAAGGTGATAAAACTATTTCTATTAAAACATATGAAGTATTTTGAGCAAATGAAAGTTTAATAATACCTGCTGGAAAGAGGAGATTGTATAATCAACCTAACAGAATTTAAAATAATATTCAATAAGGGAATTCTAAAAATTACAGCTGGATTTAGCCTTACTTCTATAGTATCAAGGAAAGATTTAGAGCCAAACTGTAAAATTATAGGAAACTAGATTTCAAATATATCAGAAGGATGAGTTACCCAAAACTGGAATAAGAAAAGACTGCTTTGGGAGGTAATGAGTCTTCATCACAAAAGATTTTCTAAAAGAGTCTATACTCTATTGCCAAAAATATTACAAAAGAATGGGTGAAATATTTCTGTAATCTATTATTCAGAATAATTCCTTTTGAAAGAACCATGCTTAGAATATCTTGTCTCACACAATGTTTAACACACTCTTTCACAAAGGACAGAGCTTCAGAGGATATTTGCTGATCAAATTAGTTTATTACTTCCAGAGCCTAAGGCAACTCATTTGAATATTTCCCACGCTGGCTCTTATCCACATTTTAAGGGTGAGTATTTAACTTTTGGTAACATTACAAAGGCACTTGAAGTTAAATTTGGTCAGCACTAAAGATAACTCAGAAAATAAAAAATGGCCTATGAAATATTTAAATAGTTGTAAGATAATTTATGCAATAATTTAACACTGAATCTATCACAGGGAAAATGCTTACTCAGTTGTAGGAAATATTATTATTAGTTTAATATAAAGGCAAATTTTCAGAAATTAGAAAGCAATATTGTAAAAATTTATGTGTAGTTATTTTTAAAAAATTGCAAATTTGGGGCCAGGGAGATATTACAGTGGACACATTTCCTTGTAAGTAGCCAGCACCCTGGACCTGATATTGCCCTTGATTCCTGACAGGAGTGACCCCTGAGTGCAAAACCAGGATGAAGCCCTGAGCACCTCCAGATGTGTTCTCCAAACAACAACAACAACAAAACAACAACAACAAATAACACATTCATTTGAATACGAAAATTCTGGTGTGTTATATTTGTTAAATTTAGTATTAGCATTCAATTGTATTATCAACAATTAACACATTACAAAACATGATCATGATTTTCTTAGAACTTGGACCACAGAGATAAAAACTTGTATGGAATTTGTTTAAGCATTTTAAGCATAAATAGTAGATTAAAAATCTGCAACATTACAAGTTTATCTTACATGAGTATTTCTCCTTAAATGCAGATTTATAGTCCTTTTCCCATACAGGTATTCTCTGGGAGCCTTTCAGTTAACTGAGCTCTCTACACACTGTAATGATGTGCTTATAGAAGGAATCTATTTTTTTTTTCACCATAGAACACAGGGGTGACGAGGAAAAAGAAGGTCGGACATTGTCCATGAAACTCTGATGAAAATACATATTGAAGTAAAACCTTTAATGGATGCTACTTCTATAATGAATTACTATACATTTTGTGATTAAGAAAAAAAATGACACCTGGACTTTCTCCGATAGTCTGACATTTTCTGGTCGGGTCACTGGACGTCTTGGCTGTTGAAATTTCACTTTCTTCCACATAGATGTCTTAATTCTGTTGGTCTCTGAGACATATTCTGTATTAGAGTGTGCACCTTCGGCACTTCTTTTCCAGCCTCTATGACTGATGGACAATTTGTTGGACACAAGTGACTCACGCTTCAAGTCTTTACCCAAAGATCTGATTTTCATATTTTCCTTAAATAACAAAGAACGTGTTATAATTACTACTTCTCCCATAACCCTATAACTTTAGATAATATTTATTACTAATAAAAATGTATAAGTTAGAAGCTTTAAAAATAGACTGGCCAATGTATAATGCCATATAGTACAGAATGAAATATAGCAAAACTAGACATCCAAGACATCTTACATTGATGTGATATGCAAGAGAACACAAACTGAGGCCATATTATGCTTCCTGATACCTCCCATTCCAACTGAGATTTTCTTGCCCTGTCTGCCTGCTGCAAATTTATAGCCATCTTCTATTGTAAAGGCTGGTTGAGGTTTACTCATCCCATTAAGAAAGGTGAATAAATAAAATTATGAAATATTTTCCAGTTTTGTATGTGTGATTTATATAACTACAAAATCTCTAAAATTTAAAAATTATTTTCTCTAAACTTACAATTTTCAATCATACTTGAAGATAACCTAAATATAAGATTTCACCAGTATAATTTAGAAAATAAATATATGATTTATTTCTAGACAAATTCACAGAATGAAATTAAAAACTCTACTCTTAAATATAGTAATTCATGTGACACCTTTGAACTATGTTGAAAAAAATCGATCTAAAAATACATTAATTTTTGATAAAAAAGTTATTATCTTTGACCAGTATATATATTGGCAATTTAAATTTTCTAATGGATATTTTACTGAGTTTTGCCCTAATAAACACATATCACTCTTATAAGAAATTTGTGACACAGGCTAGAGAGAGATAGTACAAGAGTTTAGGCACTTGTCTTGTACATAGTCAACTCAGGCTTGGTCCTTGGCACCAAATATAGTCTCTAAGCACCACTGGGAGTGACCCCTGAGCACAAAGCCAGAAGTAAACCCTGAACAAAAACATTTGGCTCCTAAACAAAAAAGGAAAAGAAACAAACAGTAAAGGAAATGATGACAGTAAAAAATTACCTATCACTTTATACCTGTAGAAAATATAAAAACCTCATTTGAAAGGACATACGCTCTTCTGTATTTATGGTAGGACTATTTACAACAGCCAAGATAAGAAAGCAAAGCTAGCACCCACAAAGGGATTGAGTGGATGACGATGTAGTGTTGCATGGACACACACATACATATGTGCATACACATAAATAACTGCTGTGATTTAGTCATGGTCACATTTGGCCTTGATTAAGTATTATCCTCCAAGTAGTAAACATTGCACAAATGGGCACAACTCTAATTCACTTACCTTAGGGGCTGACTTTTGGCAAGTGGCAGGGAACTCAGTGATTCTACTCGGTGGAATAAACTGAGGCTTTCATGGAAAAAAAAAGTCATTAGACAAATGTAAGTGAAAAGAACTTTCAGTTGTTATTTTATAATTCAATATTCTTCATTTCTTAAGAAGAGTCAGATAGAACGTCTTGACTATTTTTAAGAGGTTTCTTTAAGTTTCACAATCTGCAACTATGTTCTGATTGACAGGGACTGGACAGGACTGAATACCATGGCTTACTGAAGCATTATAGATAAAACTTTCAATGAACAGTTTCTGGGTGCCACAAGATCAAACACTGTCTGCCTGGTTACCATCTTCCCTCTCTTGCCATTCTCTGTTACCATTTGCAGGTCCTAGCATCTGGAATGCATCTTAACCTGCAGCAATAGCTCGATGTTCAGCTATTCTTCAGCAATTCAGGTGCTAGTTTCAATGACCATTTGAGGGTATACCTTGGCCTGAATTGTGTCTTTAATGACTGAGATGCTGTTGTATACTCAGATGTAGAGCTAGAAAAGAGGAAACAATTTTTATCGTGAAAAATAATTTCTTTTAAAACAAATATTTGACATGATTGCTATGCTAAAATGACTAAATCATTGTCATTGTCATTGTCCTCCCGTTGTTCATGGATTTGCTCGAGTGGGCCCAGTAACGTCTCCATTGTGACACATGTTACTGTGTTTGGCACATAGAATACTTCACGGGTAGCTTGCCAGCATTTGCTGTGCAGGCGAAATACTCTCCGTAGCATGCTGGGCTCTCCGAGAGGGGTGGAGGAATCGAACTCTGGTCAGCCATGTTGGCCGCATGCAAGGCAAACGCCCTACCTGCTGTGCTATTGCTCCAGCCCAAAAATGACTAAAAGTGAAATTAAAGATAAAAAGTGATGGGAATCCTGTGCTTGGCTCAGGTTTACTCCCTTTGGATGGGAATCTGGTTTGAGGATCACTTACACTCCCTTTTGGTGTACCCATTACTATATACCATGCCACAGTCGCCATCACGGTAGTTGCTGTTATGGAATTTCTTTTTTCTAATAATAAACTTATGTTTTATATTCGTGCAGTGTTTTGTTCACATTTTAATACCCTTGTTTCTGGTTTTGAGGTTTTTTCTGTATCTTTTGCATGTTTTGGTATGTTTGGTATCCTTTGGGATATACATACATATACACAGACACACACACACACAAACACACACACATATATATATATACACATATATATATATCACTGTCCTCCCTTTGTTCATCGATTTGCTCGAGCGGGCCCAGTAACGTCTCCATTGGAGACTTTGTTGTTACTGTGTCTGGCATATCGAATACGTCACAGGTAGCTTGCCAGGCTCTGCCATGCGGGCGAGATACTCTCGGTAGCTTGCCGGGCCGGAATATTTCTTAGGGCCATTTATTTTTTTATTTCTCAGGGCTTCCTCCTAGTTCTGTGTTCAGGAATCACTCCCGCAGTGTTTAGGGGACCATATAGTAGCATGAAATTCAACTTGGACTAGTTGTTTATAAGGCAATCACCCTGTCCATTTTACTGTTTTTCTGTTTCCTTCAACTTTTTATTCCGTTTCTCCTCCCTCTATCTGGCGGAATTTTCACATTAATTGGAAAGTTCTGAGAATTTTGAGCAAATATTATGTATTTAACTTCCACTTGATATTTGAGGCTGTTTTATTGTTTGTTTTCTGCTTTTTTTATTGCTCTTAGAAAAATTCTAGAAAAAAGTGTTAGATGTTAGACCTATATAGTCATATTTATACCAGAAGCCTCTGCAAAATTTTTAGCTCCTTTAAAATAGTATCAGCCTGTTTTATAGTTAGCATTTGTATCTTTCTCAATAGATTATAAATTCCCAGACTCTTTTTTTTTAATCTGTACTACCTAACATAATGTTTAACACTTTATAGATACTCAATAAAGTGTTGATGATTGACACGATAAACAGATATTCCCAGAGCGGACTGCTCATCTCTTCTGCTGTTGAAACACTGTCACAAGTCTATTCTGTATTCTTAATGTGACTATTTCTCTACTACCTGTCAGATATTATCACATCTTTCTGAAGCTTTATATTAACTGCCAGTGTATGGTATTTCTTCTAGTGTCTGTGTCACCCTGAGATAAATTCTGATCCTGATATAGCAAGATAGATTGGACCTAAACCTTAATACTACACACACACTCACACACATATGTATATAATTTTTATAATTATACAGTTATCTTGATTTATACCACCTTTGAAATTAGCTCAAAGATAATAATTTCTTGCTAGGAGGTAATATTGTGTAATGTGTGATTTGATTTGAATCATATTTGAAAACAAGTGTTGTAATTAAAAACACAATTTTATAAATTCTGTAAGTTTTCTTCTTTTATGTTAGTTTCAACATTGTTTATACTAAAAAGCTTCAAACATTCAAAGAAGCAAAAATGTCTCAATTACATTTTGAATAAAAAACATCAATTACAGCATCCAAATAAAACATTTTAAGGCAATACAAAAACCAATGCCAGACACTGAAATCGCCTCTGGTAATTATAGGATAAAGGCAGAATTCACTTCTAACTGGAAGAACGCAGCAAGAGATGAAGAAAGAATTCAAACAGAGCTGTATAACAGAACTGAAGAAATAACTCAAGAGGCTGGAGTGTATGCTTTGTATGCAGAGGCCCAGGTTTGATCTCTGGCACCACAGGGTTCCCTGAGCATTACCACGAGCAGCAAGCTATGAGCTATTGGGCCTGATTAGGACTGGCCAAATACAAACAAACAAAGGCACGCAGAACACCATTTTCTCTCAGTTTCACACTCAGAAATTTTTACTACAGTGAATAATTTAACAATGTTTACATCAAAGAGACATTCCACCCTTAAGAATATTGGGACCCCTAACTACACTATCACAGTTCTGCTTATCTTTTAAAATTTTCTTATGTCAGCAAAGATCTCTTTTCATATCTTAAAATTTATCTAGTTTTAAGCCAGAGAGAGATGAAAGAGTTAAATCTCATTGTTTAAATAGCCATTTTACCTAAAAATACACAGTAATTCAATGCAATCCTTATTCAATTCAAAGTCCTTCAAAGGGATAAAATTAAAACTCCTAAAATGACAAGTAATGTATGACAAAGGAGCCAAGAACATACAATGTAAAAGGAAGTCTCCAATAAATGATGCTGATGAAACTCAACAACCACATTCAAAGAATCAAACTATGTAACAATATAGAGAAATATGGAATTCATGTTCATTGTCTACATAGAGTATATATGTTTGTATATAGGTAAATATACAAAAAATCAATTAAAAAAACTAATATGTTTGAAACCATAAACTAGAAAAACATAGGTGATAAACTCTTCAACATTGATCTTAGTGAGTTTTTGTGAAATTCTCCAATAGTAAGTTGAAGATATAAACGTGTGTATATATATACATATTCACACACACATATATACTTACACATATAAACATGGGATCACATCAAACTAAAAAGGTTCTTCGCAAGTTAAAGTAACCATATTCAAAACAAAAAGGAAGCCTATTAAATTGAAAGAGATACTTGGAAATCATGCAGATAAAAGGTTAATTAATATACAAAATATATAAATAACTCATACAACAACAATGAAAGCACACAATCATATTAAAAACTGGGCAGAGGATCAAAATAGATTATCTCATCAAAAGTCATACACATAGCTATAGCTATAGCTATATAGCTAATAGACACATGGAAATAAATGTTCTTCATCACTTGTCATTAAAGAAATGCAAATGAAAACTACAAGGTTTCACCATACACTACTTAAAATGTATATTAATCAAAAGTAAATAAACAGTGCTGGATACCTAGGTTAAATGTGGTGCTTAATACAATAGCCAAGATATGGAAACAACTCAAATGTCCAACTTTAGACAAAAGAACCAAGAAGTTATTATGTATATACACAATGAAAAGCTACTTAGTGCTAAGAAAAAAATCATGCAGTTTGCAGCAACATGAATGGAGCTAGAAGATATCAAGCTAAGTGATACAGAATATGAAAATACTGGTTCAAATAGATGAATATCAGTTCAAATAGATATATGCAGTCTTAAGTTCATGGTATTAATAGACAAGATATTATGCTAAGTCAGACTAAAAGGGACAGATTCAGAAAGCAGAATAATGGGAGAACTGATCCATACAATTAAACTTGGGGACAGGAATAAATGAGAGGTATGGAGGTTGGTGTCCAGGGTGAAGGAAGATGGGTGTACTGGTGATGGGGTGGAAATATGTCTATGAGAAACTATTATTAACAGTATTACAAACTAAATTAAATTTAGAAAAAAGAAAAGAAAAATCAAACTTTTTTTTTAAAAAAAGGAATAATGTTGGCATGGATGTGGAAAAAAGAAACCTTGGGTGCTACTGATGGAAACATAAATAGAGGCATGATGGGATTGAGTATACAGATTTTGCAAAACCTTAAAAACAGAACAACCACATCTGTTTGTAATTCTGTTTCTAATATTTCCTAAAGAATATGAAAGTACCGGTTCAAATCGATGAATATCAGTCTAAACAGATATATGCAGTTTTAGGTTCATGGTATTAACAGTAGACAAGATATGAAACCAAGTGCTTCACTTTTGAATGACTGAATAAAGATGTGTTCCATATTAAAGGTATGTGTTCTCATACCCATGGAATAAGACGTGGCTGTAGAAGTGATAACAATGCCATTTTCAACTACAATGATAAACCCTGGTGAGATTATGCTAAGTGAAAGAAATCAGAAGCAAATAAAACCAGGTAGACCATATGATGTCAGTCTGTGGAATACAGAAAAAAAAGCAAATGAGCAAACAAAATAAAAATGAATTGCTGTTTACCAAATGGAGTGGGAAAGAGGTAGAAGAGATAAAAGTGATGGACTGATATACTGTAGCACTGTAACACTGTCCTCCAGTTGTTCATCAATTTGCTCGAGAGGGCACCAGTACCGTCTCCATTGGAGACTTGTTACTACTGTT